CTAAAACATCATGCTGTCAGAAAAGTTTTAAGAATAGCCTAAGGAACTCCAGTATACCCTTCTCCCACATTTCCCAATTGTTAATATTTTGCCACATTTGATATGTAATTTTCTTCCATCCCCCCCTTTCCCCTCCCTGTAATTTTTCCTCCTTTCCTTCCTACTATATGTTTTTTCAGAATTGAGATAAATTGTAGACATAACTCCCCTTTATCTGTAAATCTTTAGTGTGTGTACTAGATCATATGGTAGTTTTATCTTTAATAAGAACAAGGACATTTTCTTATGTAATCATGTTTAGTTACCAAAGCCATGAAACTAACATTGACTTAACAGTGTTGTATTACCCGTTGTCTCAGTTAGTGTCCTTCATGGTGTGCAGATGTGAACGAATGAACGAATACATAAGAAACAAATCCTTTGGATCACACCTGGCATCTAGTTGTCGTGCCTCTTTAGTCGTTTTTAATCTGGAACATTTCTTCAGTTTACCTTTGCTTTGCTTTTCTTTTCTTTTATTTATTTATTCTTTGCGGTACGCGGGCCCCTCACTGTTGTAGCCTCTCCCATTGTGGAGCACAGGCTCAGCGGCCATGGCTCACGGGCCCAGCCGCTCCGCGGCATGTGGGATCTTCCCGGACCGGGCCACGAACCCGTGTCCCCTGCATTGGCAGGGGGACTCTTAACCACTGCGCCACCAGGGAAGCCCTTCCTTTCATTTTTGAGGAGCAAATTACTTTGAGAATGTCCCTCAATTTGGGTTTGTGTGACATTTCTTTGATTGAGTAAGGATTTTTCTGGCTTCACATTACAGATTAACAACTGTACAAAACCTGTTTTTTTTTTCCCTCAGAATTTGTAGCATCAAGCAAAACATTTTAAAATTCTTTAAATGTTATTTATTTTATGTCTACTGTTTAAATCAGAAAAGAGCACAATAAAGCCAGATGTGACATTTTAACTTTGCTAATAAGAATAATTAAAATATCAACACAAATATCATGCATAAATATTCATCTCACATATGGGATAAATTAAAATATGTAGCTTAAATAAACTGGAGTGTTAATCCTTTATGCAAAAAAATAAACACGGTAACTTCTCTATTTAAAAAAATCCTCCTCTTGATTAAAACCGTAAATGGTTGTTATCAATTGTCTCCTCTACCTGCATATTATTTAATGTCTAGATATAGAATAAGTGTATTTTCTCTTTAACTTGTATGAAAACAGGTGTTAAGTGTGAGAATATGATGGCATAATTGCTTTTTAAGATCCATCATAAGGTTTTCCTTCCTAGCCCGTCATCCCCATCCCAGCACTAATCTCTGCCCAACGATTATGTTTCGGCCATGTAATATAATCAACTTTTACTTCCTTGTTACCCATTTTGCAGATTAACTGCAGACTTAGAGTGGCTTATGGGCCAGCTGTCTCCCCTTAGCAGTTGGGGCTTGTTTGGAGAGGAAGGAACTGGGCTTTAGTGCTGGTCATTTGTGGCTGTTTTTCTGTCTCGATGCAGATATGTGTGTATCTTTTCTGCTGTTCTGAGGATAGTGGGAAAGTAAACAGCTTTCATACTGCCCACGCAGTAGGTTCCCTGCTTCTAATATGCTTAGCAAAAATGCCCTGTTTTTCTGGATATTAGAAGGCAAAAATGCCAATGGAGTAATGGCCAAGGGAAAACATGACAGGTTGCACTGATAGAAAATCACTTGGGGTACATACATGTCTGTACATGAGGGACATAATGTGCACTTGAGTGACATTCATGTCCAAATGGCTTGAGGAGCAAGTTAAAGGGAAACAAAATATTCATCATGTTTCCTTAGAAAGAACTTGACTCAAGAAACGGTTGAGATAGTACAGAATCTGGATGGAGAAACAATCGAAGGTGATAGAAAATTAGCTTCTCCTTTATATCAGAATGAAGAGATCCCCATACTAGTAAGATTTTGGAAAAATTCTCTATAAAGTAGCCTTAAAAATGGTTTTTAGGGCTTCCCTGGTGGCGCAGTGGTTGAGAGTCCGCCTGCCGATGCAGGGGACACGGGTTCGTGTCCCAATCTGGGAAGATCCCACATGCTGCAGAGCGGCTGGCTGGGCCCGTGAGCCATGGCCGTTGAGCCTGCGCGTCTGGAGCCTGTGCTCCGCAACGGGAGAGGCCACAACAGTGAGAGGCCCGCGTACCGCAAAAAAAAAAAAAAAAAAAAAAAAAAAAAAAAAAAGGTTTTTAAAGAGCAAATTTTTTTAAACATTTTGCTGCCAGAGAATTAAGTTCTCAAAGTTGGAATTAATTTCAGTCTTATGTCAAGAGCCAAATAGATTGATAATGCAATATCAAAGGAAAAGTACAATCTCTCACTTAAATGTTTTTAATGATAATAATGACTTAAGACTTGATAAGAAAGCTGAAAAAGAATATTATTCCCGTCTGCAGTTTTCATAAGAAACGAAACTTTCCCATGGAGAATACAGTCTCTTTTAAGACAGGTTCAGAGCAGGGCACGTCAGGAAGTGACTCGAACTTGATTAAAATTTCTCTTCATATATTCAGTCAGCCCCTTATCTTGACTTTTCAAGTAGAAGAAAAATGAGAATTTTAAGCCTTTGTAAAACGTTATGGAAATGTCAAAATCAGTAAACGTTAAAAAGCCAAACAAGATATAAATCAGTAAGTGACAATTAAGAACCTTCCAGATTTGAGGCAAATAAACATACTGAATGATCAGATCTAAATGTGCCCAGTTAAGGACTATCTTTGGTTTCCGTGTCTTTTCAAGTGCAACTTTCCCAGGAATATAAATACTGATTCTGATGCACAGAGTGAATTTTACCTTTCAGTTACTTCTGAATTTAAAGTAGGAGGGGCTGTAGTGTGTCTTGATACTATTTTGTATTTCAAACATCAGAAACAGATTTTATATTGAAGTAGCTGTGTTTGTTCACACAAGGTCTTTATTTACTGCTCTTGAATTGTTTTGAACCATATGGATGAAAATAAAATTTTAAGAGCAAAACAAGTATATAAAGATAGTATAGTAAATATGATGTCCATAGTAAATACGTCATAGTAAATGTGATGCATAGTAAATATGATGTTAATATTTTGATGGGAGTATTTAATGTTTATTTCTCCCAAATCCATTGATTTTATTTGAGCTGTAATTATTCTCTAGGAATATTTTAAGTGTAAAAAGCCTTTTATAATGGGCAGGTATAGGCTTTATTTTGATTTTGATACTGAAATGTATTTACTTTGTATAGTTAACATACTATACCTCTGTATCTTTTCAAGTTGCTCTCTCTGTAATATTCTTTATTATATATATAGTTTTCCTGTTTTTAACATATTAATGATTTTTTTTTAAAACACACCTTGTCTTGATATCTATGAGGCTATCTTTTGAGATGGCACAAAGAATGTTAACAATGAGTATTAATAAATCAAGAACTTAAAAAAATCATGTTATTATGGATTTGGAGATTTAAAAATAACATATCTTTTGTATTATGATAATCTTTAAAAAAAAATCTCTTACTGATACACTCTGTACTTCTAAAAATTATTTCATCTAATTGAGATATCTGAGATTGCATGTTAAATCTCCAAATTATTATTAAAAATATTTAAAATTATTTTATCATTATTATGTTAATTTTGATAATTATTAGAAAAAATTTTTAAATGTGTTGAGAGACAAAGAAGAAAACTGAAGTCTACCTACATTTCCATTGCTCTGCAATAGGCTTTCATGTGTGTAATTGAACATTCTTTAAAAGTGCAATCTTTAAAGGATGCGTTATATTCCAGCCTAATTATGTACCATTAGATGTTGAACCATTAGATGTTGAACCATTCTTGAAGTGTACTTTGATACTTGCAGCTTGAATGAATAGGTGGATGCTGGAGAAATATTCCAAAATTACAAAAAGAGAAGGAGGAAAAGTTGTAGGACTAGATGAGGCATTTAGTTGTGATTCAAAGAGCTTGTGCCACATGTCTGTTATGTGACATAAAATGAAATGCTGAATTTGATAAAGAACTCTGGCCTCATCTATTTGGAGACAGCCAGTGTAGAGCTGGGGTCCCTGAAGAGGATTACAGAAGGCAGATAGCTTCCTCTTCCGGTGTCCGACATTTTTATATGTCATCTCACTGCCTTTCATCAGGTTATACTTGAAGCATTCATTTCCTCCCTGCTGTTTTAGGGGAGCTGAGCAAAAGTTCGTGTATCTCAAATGTGTCGGGTTCTGCAACAGTCTCCTTATGCACCCGATGGCTACAATTACGAAGTCAAAGCCGGCATATACAACTCTTTAATTAAACAATATTGCTTGAATAATATCCCCAGCTGTAGATGTATCATACAGTACCGTGGAAAAAAATTTCTCTAATGTTGTTTATCTCTACTTTGTCTCACAGATGTCGAAGTTGAAAACTCTCTAGTGACTCTCTGAAAATGAATGCCATTTTTTCTGCTGACTTTGTATCATCAGGATTTGTTACTGTTTGTGAATAAAATGATGCACCCTTAGTGAACATTAAACTATTAATAACATTGAAAATTCTAGTGAAAAAAAAAGGGACAAATGAGTTATATTTATTTATTTTGATTTCATGCTGTTACTGTTTTTCTCCTGTGGTTTAGAATATATAAAGAGATTTAAAAAAAAAAAAAAAACCCACAAAAAACAAAAGAACAAACCAAAACTCTGAGTCTGCATGACTTTAGTCCTTCTGCTACATTTTTTTCCCTATATTTCTCAGAATCTGGTTTAGGTTTGTTTCAATATTGAAACAAGTACCGCATAAAAATATTAGCAGCTGGTTCCAGGAATCATCTGGAGGGGATGCAGATGCGCTGTTATCATGGATCTTGTCGTGGAACTTTGATGGAGATACTGTGCCTGTTATGATTAAAGAACTGCTCATTAGCAGTCCTTAAAAATAACAGAAAGAAACATTGGAATATAATGCGCAATTTTGTTTCCTGTTAGAAAGCAGAAGATGAGGATACTGTTCTCACACCTGATGGCACCAGGGAATTTCTGACGTTTGAAGTTCCACTGAATGATTCAGGATCTGCTGGTCTTGGCGTCAGTGTCAAAGGTAACCGGTCAAAGGAGAACCACGCAGATTTAGGAATCTTCGTCAAGTCCATTATTAATGGAGGAGCAGCATCTAAAGTAAGCAAATGTCAACATTTTCAAGCTTATGCTCATTCACAAAAATGTTTAATTACAGCCCTATTCTTATTTTGGAAACATGGAAGCAGTAAGGGCGAATTCTTTCCTCTACCCTCTTAGATTCGGTTTCTGTGACCTGTGAATTAAACTGATAAAAGACAGGTTAACAGGAAAAAAAGGTTTACAAATTTGATTGATGGGGGCTCCACAGGAAAAGTGAAAACCTAAAGAAGCAGTTAGACTTGGAAGCTTTTATACCATTTTAGCAAATGCTGATAAATTGTGGAGTAGGGATTAGACAAAGAAAGAGGGTTCGGACTTCCAGGTGTGGTAAATAGTGGGATGGTAAACGTATGAAGGAAACCGATGGTAGAAAAGGCTTATTTTGTAGGCTCATCTCAGTGCACCTCTGCCTCTGGTGGTGAGGGTCATTCTCCCCTTCCAGGTTTTGGAGAAGAGAAGGGGCACCTTCACAAGGAGAACCTTATGCCCACATTCAGCCAGAAGCAGGGAGGACAGAGCCCCCTTCCTGTGTCTGCCATTTCTCAGTTGCCTTCTGCTAAAATAATCCCCATGCCAAAGTGGCGTGTTTTGGGGTAGCGTATTCTGATACCCTGTAACACTTAAATGTTTTCTGTTTTCTTCCTAATACCCCATCCATGATCAAACAACTAGTGGCAATCTCAGTGATCTCTCACTGAGAGGAATTCATATCTTCGACTCCCCGTTTTTGGTCTCACAGAATTCACAGCCCATGGTCATTACAGTGAAATGGAGGTTATCTCTGCAAAGACTTAGCTCAGGTTCTGGCACAGAGCTAACCTACTGGAAAGGTTACTCTCTTCCCCTCCCCTCTCATCCCCTCCCATGGGTCACTTCTGTTTCCCAGTCTAGAGAAAATTTCCTGGCTGTCTATGAAGGGGCACTTCTCTGCAATTGTCTAATAGCCTGGAGCTTTTGCATGTTGTAAATAACCTCTCTGGGTGTAAATAACCTCTCTGGGTGTCTCTGGAAGCAGGAAAGTAATCACTTTGTGTCCTATGAATTAGTATGCTATTTTGGTAAACAGATTATGATAATGACTTGATTTACAAATGTATAAATGATTAAAGTAGACACAGGCTGCAAGGGCCACTTACACATTATTATGCTGGTGTTCAGTTGGGCATAATCCATTAGTATTAAAGCCCTTTTCTTTTTCTTTTTGCTTTGTTTTTATTTATTTATTTTTTTAATGAAAGGGAAAGCAGCTTCTTTTATCACAGACTGTTTAATGGCACTTATTTTTAACCTGCCTCCTTCCCAGGATGGGAGGCTTCGGGTGAATGATCAACTGATAGCAGTGAATGGAGAATCCCTGTTGGGCAAGACAAACCAGGATGCCATGGAAACCCTCCGGAGGTCCATGTCCACCGAAGGGAACAAGCGAGGAATGATCCAGCTTATTGTGGCAAGGAGAATAACCAAAGGCACCGAGGTAAAGAATGAGAAAGACAAGAGGCATCTGAAATGGTCATAGGACCAAGTTCTTCCCTAACATTGGGCCAAGAATGGCAGGTCCAGGGGCTTTACCTTGAAAGACTCAATTATCTTTGCTGGCTAGAGTTTATTGTACTGTCAGTGGATTGTGATTTGTTTTCTTAATTCTGTGATCAAAATATCCCTAAGTATGCAGTTACATTTCTATTGCCACCTCAACAGATAACACTGGGATCTCGAAGGCACCTTTAGCTGGGTTCAAGAAACAGGGCCACGCCTTCCTGCTCAGAGCCCGCACTTTCTCTTCTGTTCAGCGGTGTTGAACCAGGAGGGAGAAACATTGAAGTGATTGCTTGTTCCCTTGCTTATCTAAAATGGGTGCCTCTTGTAAAGCCCCTCACAGGGGAGAGTCTGTTTCTCTTGTGACATTGTCAGAAGTGTAAGTCCCCCTTCCTACCCCCTGGCCCCCTTTCTCCTTCACTGTAGGGCTGAGTATTTTCCTCCGGAGGGGCTGCCTTTTCAGTGGTGTCTCCTGCATAAAGCCACAGTGGGTTCTGCACATGTGCTGCCGTCTGTAATTAGGCAAGGGGTGGGAAGGTTTCCTCTCCCAAAGGGTGTGAGCATCTGTCTTCCCAAATAGGAAAAACATACCAAGTAGACTTGCATAGCGGGGCATTTGAGAATTTAAAGGGAATTATATACAGATTTGTTAATTAATATTAGAACCTGAAAAAGAGGGTTTTCAAAGAATTTTTATAAAGTATGTGCCACCTCTAGGAAACAGGTGGGACCTGCTTGCTGAAAGTATAACGCTTGTTGTTTTTGTTTTTATTGATACTGAACTCCTCACTTTTTTTTTTTTTTTTTTTTTGATACTGACCTCCTCCCTTTTTTTTTTTTTTTATTGATACTGAACCCCCCCCTTTTTTTTTTTTTTTATTGATACTGAACCCCCCCCTTTTTTTTTTTTTTTATTGATACTGAACCCCCCCCTTTTTTTTTTTTTTTATTGATACTGAACCCCCCCCTTTTTTTTTTTTTTTATTGATACTGAACCCCCCCCTTTTTTTTTTTTTTTATTGATACTGAACCCCCCCCTTTTTTTTTTTTTTTATTGATACTGAACCCCCCCCTTTTTTTTTTTTTTTATTGATACTGAACCCCCCCCTTTTTTTTTTTTTTTATTGATACTGAACCCCCCCCTTTTTTTTTTTTTTTATTGATACTGAACCCCCCCCTTTTTTTTTTTTTTTATTGATACTGAACCCCCCCCTTTTTTTTTTTTTTTATTGATACTGAACCCCCCCCTTTTTTTTTTTTTTTATTGATACTGAACCCCCCCCTTTTTTTTTTTTTTTATTGATACTGAACCCCCCCCTTTTTTTTTTTTTTTATTGATACTGAACCCCCCCCTTTTTTTTTTTTTTTATTGATACTGAACCCCCCCCTTTTTTTTTTTTTTTATTGATACTGAACCCCCCCCTTTTTTTTTTTTTTTATTGATACTGAACCCCCCCCTTTTTTTTTTTTTTTATTGATACTGAACCCCCCCCTTTTTTTTTTTTTTTATTGATACTGAACCCCCCCCTTTTTTTTTTTTTTTGCGGTCCGCGGGCCTCTCACTGTTGTGGCCTCTCCTGTTGCGGAGCACAGGCTCCGGACGCGCAGGCTCAGTAGTTGTGGCGCACGGGCTTAGTTGGTCCGCGGCATGTGGGATCTTCCCAGACCAGGGCTCGAACCCATGTCCCCTGCATTGGCAGGCGGATTCTCAACCCCTGCACCACCAGGGAAGCCCAACTGATGTTTTTAATGTAAGTCCTCCAAAGAGCTGTGTGAAAAATTCTCCACGGTAAGTTCACAAGACACATTGTTCTTTATTAGGTCTTTTTCAAAAATGGAATAATTTCATATACCCTAAGACTGTATTCGTGTGACAGATGTTCATTGAGCATCTACTACATTCAGAAAATAAGTTAGATCCTGGGGATAAGGTGGTGAATAAAGACAGATGGAGTTCCCTCTCTGGATGTTCTCCTGGACCATAGATCATATTCTTAGTCTCTTTAAAAACAAACTAAAATTCCTCAAAGTTTTCCTTTAGAGAGAAACATTGAAATGTTATAGGGGGACTTAAAATGTAAGAAACGGACTGAAGGGCAGCATCCTGAATCCAGACGTGTTTTTGTCTGGCTCAGGTGGTTCCCCAACCGAACCTATACCAACCTGAAAATGTTTTGATAAAAGCACTGATTTGATCCCCTGTTGCCCTATAAAACACACGGAATTGGAATCCCACTGCAATGTCTCTGTCTCATTCACTTCTGCATATGAATTTATGTGAATGAAAATGATTTAAGTAAGGGAACAGAGGCAGTAGGCAGTAATAGACTTTAATATTCAATATTCTTTACAGTATCATTTTCATACATTGCTGGTTATTACTATTTCTTAGGATAGAGTAAGCTTATAAAGCAATTATGTCAAAAAAAACTTATCACGAGTGCTGTGCTCTCTTTGTAATACCAGCGAAAAGCCTTTTGTACTGACAGGGTTTAACTAAAGAATTCTGTGAAGACAGAAGAGTTCATTTCAGCTTCCCATAAGTCTTCAGACATGACTTTGCTGCTGTTGTACTTATATATTACCTTTGGAGAAACATCTCCCTGAATTACTGGAAGGGTACGTGTAAATTATGTTACCGTAAATATTGATATAAGCATAGGGTGTCTTGTCACGGATGAACCTCAAGCCAGAATAATGTGCTGAGTTCTCTCCTCCTGAGTCCATCTGTCAGCCATGTGGTCCAGCCTTTGACAATATCACAGAACTATATTTTACTAACTCATCTTTAAATCAAGGGTTTGCATACTTACTTTCAAGCTAGAGAAGATAAAAATTCGCAGAAGAACATCTTTTGTGCTTTGTCACCTCTTCCCTTGCCCTCTTTTATATGTGGGAAGTGCTGTCTGTTATCCTAGTATGTTTTCTTCAAAATTGGCAACTCTCGGCACGAAATATCATCTTCCCTTGCACTTCCCTGGTCTTTGTTCCCATACAGCACATTTGAGACATGTTCTAGAAGATGCTTCTCAGTCCCTTCCACTTGACTTCTCAGGAGTCTGTGAACACTGCCTCGTTCTTGAATCCTTTCCTGCCAGCTCTCTCCGTTTTTCTCCTGCTTCCCTCTGGCCCTCTGTCTCCTTTAAGGTTGCTCTCTTCTGCCTGTTCCTTTTTTGGTTAGTATTCCTCAAGGCGTTTTCTGGGCTGTGTCTTCTTCCGCACATGCTCCCTGGGAGACCTTCGTTCCTTGGTCTTCAGGTACCACTTTCCTTACGATGAATCCCATGGTCCTGTTTTCAGCTCAGGACTCTACTCTAGTTCCAGATCCCTCTGTCCAGCCACCCATGGGGATGTCCACTGGTATGTCTCTCAGGCACCTATGCTTTTTCCACCAAAACCCATTCCTCCCTCAGTTCTTCATCTACCTTGTCCTCCTTCCCCCCGAGATAGCTCCACTGTTTCTTTACTTGTAGCAGCTGGAAATCGGGTGGCTCTGACCTCTCAATGCCTTTCCTGTCTCTGTTGCCTCCTCCTCTGGAGTCTTTCTCTCCTCCCTCACTCCTCTCCATACCCCTGCCCTTACCCCATCCTCTCACGGGGCTCTCTGCTGCAGCTCCCTGAAGGATTTCTCTCTCAACCCATTTTGTCTACATGGCAGTAAGGCACATCTTCCCACAAAACAAACTGATCGTGTTACTTCCAGCCGAAATCTCTTCGGGAGCCTTCCTTCCTTTCCAGGATGGGTGCCAGTCTCCATCACGTGGCCACTAGGACGTGCACCAACCAGCCCCTGTGTCCACCAGCCTGTCCCTTACACGACCTGAAATTTCTCAGAGGTCTGATGCTGCCTTTTACCTCTGGATTTTCCACGTGAGTCAGTTCTGCTCCTTGTTCTAGCAAAGTCAGCCTTTAGATTTCAGTATCCTCTCTCCAAAGCCTTTCCGTAGCCCTGGGTACTCACCTTCAGGTAGCAGCTGTCACACCATCATGGTTCCTCTCTGGTTTTTTTTGGTGGGAACTGCAAATTCTGAGATGGCTGGGCCCTTGTTCATCTCTCCATCACTGGGGTCCAACCCAAGGCTGACACCTAAACATGGACTGAATGATGAGGGAAATAATCCCAGAGAGTTGAGCCTTTTTAGAAGAAAAGGATTAACTTAGTTACTGTTAGATGCTGAAGTTCTAACAAGGCAAGGTAACAGAATTAATATTTTAGCAGTGATTCTGGATTTCCTTCACTTTCCTTAGCTCTAATGCTCTTAATTAAGTATTTAAAAACATTCCGTAAGCAGTAATTGTTTCTTTAAAAAAGAGAGAAAAAAAGAAATGGCTTTCCTTTGTTTTTTGCTCCTGAAGGATGGATGAACTTTTTTGGCATCTCTTCCACTGGAAAGAATACATAAAGCAAGAGGCAGAAACATTGGTATCATTGCAAAGGACAAATTTGTTGAGGACTTCAGAGGAGAACTTTGGGAAATGCATATTGAAAGTCACCTGTGCAGGAGAACTATGATAATTCTAAATGTTCCAAGAAAATTAGTATTTGCAGGAATTACTGCAATTTAATCTAGTTTGCAGTCACTTCATTATATCTCGGTTAGACATGATTTCATATAAAGCCTGCCTTGGTACCAATAGAGAGTAAGACCAGGTAAGTTTTCTCTTAGTCCCCGTGCTGAGGAATTTAGTCACCAAGGACTACTCTTTTTTTTAAGAAGAAGAAATAAAACTTTTTATTTCCAGATAACATGATGTCTACGTAAAAAAATCCTAAGGAATCGACAAGGCAGTTACTTTAGAACAAGTAAGTGAATTTAGCACGATCGTAGGACAGTAGGCCAATGTACAAAATCCATTTTATTTGTATGTACTAGGAATAGACAATTTGACAGTAAAATAAAAGTCATGTACCATAATATCAAAAATCATAAAATACTT